AGAATTGTTTTCAAGATCTGAGTACTTATCAATTCTTTCTGACCTGACATCTCTTATGCTCTACAAAAATTATGTGATATGCAATTTAAATTACTTTTCATTGTTCTGTACTGTTTTGGTTTAGGTTTAATTAACCTTAAAATATTTTAAAATGAATTAAAAAAACAATTATTTCATTTAGAGTATAGAGGATTTAACTGTCTGTATTTTTTATTTTGTAACTTTTATTTGACCTGATAAATCAATTAAAAACTTCTTATTTATGATAATGGTCACAAGAGGACACAGGTAGCACAGAAAACAAAGCAATGAAAAAAAGAAAAGAACCCAGAGCTAAAGAGTATATTATATATAGTAAGTATATTTAGAAGCTTTAACAGAGCTGGACAAAAACATTAATTCCCAATGAGTTTTTACTTTTGTCTACAGCTTTGAGTTGTGATGAAGTGTTCTTTGTGAAAACTATACAATACAATGGATTATATTTGGAGAACTATTTTATGGCAAAGAAATAAGTGATATTGTAACAGTGCATAGATTTAACCTACTCTGGCTTCTAACCCACAGCAGGTCTCCTGCTGCTAATTTAATGCTGGATGAGAACTGTTGAGAACAAATGGCCCAGTGTGTCTGTCTTTGCATAATAGCTAGTTACTGTAGGTAGTGATCTGTTTTCTGTCAATAACTGACACATGAGTAAACAAGAAGACTTCCTTTGCTGCACAGGGAAGCAGGAAGTGTAAATGTGTGCACTGTAATGGTGTTGAAGAGCTGAGGAAGTTTCTCAATGTAGATTTGATAATGCTTCTCTTTCCTGCCAGAATCATGCTAGTGTCCATATTCTTACGTCTTAAGGCTTGTTTTACTTACTATAACTAATAGGGCCCTGCTAGCTGACATATTTTCTTAATTTGACATCTTTTCATAGTTGTCTTAATTTTTCATCTTTTTTAATGCTGAAAAAACTGGGGGTTTTCTTTTAATTGTCTTTTCCTCTCTGCTGAGGTGTTTTTTGTATTTTTTACATGGCTAAATGATATTAGTCATAAATGGATCATAGCTAAAGATTGTATCCATACACATCTTACATTTTGTTCACCACAACTCTGCCATTGTCTTTTTTGGCATTGTGATTGATTAAATCAGAGAATCAGAGACTGAGAACAGCGGCTTAATTCTAAAGCTCATCACATGTTTAACTTCTACAGTTTCTGAACTAGGTGAAATAATTGGGGTGCTCTCAGTGAAAATGTTCAGTTTAGGACTAAGATCTTAAGAACGGGATATTTATAACAGGTTATATATATATATATTCTGGATATATACAGTAAGTAGAAGGTTGTCTGTTGAAATCCCAAGTGAAACAAGGCTGATGTACCCTTGAGCAAGATGTTTCACCTGAATTTCTCCAGTAAAATACCCAGCTATATAAATGGGTACAAATTGGATAAAAGTGTCAACCAAATAAACTAGTAAGTTAGTTAATGTGGCTGCCTGTACTAATAGTTGGTTTACATGAAAAATAAAGCAGATGCATCATTGTTCATTGGATTGCTAAACTCGAATCTTTGAATGGAATTGAGCTGCATTCTGGCAACAGATGTTTTTAATTGTCTGCAATTACTTCAGCAGTGATAATCTTGTAAGAGGCAGTGTGGTCACAATGGCTAGATTGTGGTGTGGAATAACATTATTTGAGTGCACAGGGTACCACTGTTTAGTAACAGTAATGGCAAGGTTATATAAAGATGGCTAGGACTAAAAAAATAACATATCATACCTCATAAAAATAGGTGATATGTTTGATCTTTTATTTACAGTACTTTGGAAAAATAAATCAAAGCCTGGTTAATATAAACAGTGACTAAGACTTCTAATACTGAGTCCAGGTGTCAATTCTTACCACAAAATGAACTTTAGATATATATTGTAAACTGATCTAGTAATATTTCATATATACTTTTTAAACTTGCTGAAACTTTTTGTGTTGTAGGGCAAGCTGATATCTGTAGTCCAGACTGCTTAAATGGTCCTAAATACATAAGAAAATAGTATACACTTTGGCTCCTTTGGCTCATGTTGCTTATTTGGTAGTTTAGATGATAAACATTATCATGTACTGTAACATTTGTTACTTAAGGAGACTACAGTTTGGGCTCTCAAGACACTTACTGTAAAACTCTTGTACTAAGGAGCGTTTCCAATACTCTGTCCTACATAAACTGGTTTCTAGTTTTAATTATACTGATAAAAGACTGTTTAATAGTATTCAGGGTTTTATCTGAATACTGTTCCTTACTAATATTATATTCAAAGCAGTATTAATTAGGAGCTTCTGCCTTCTAATTATAAAACTCTGAATGCCATAAACTACTGCAACTACTGTTAATATGGTGACCATATTATAATTCACAGCAAACTAGGTTGTGTGTCAGGATGTATGAAAGTACAGTAGCAGAAGAAGGCTCGAATAAAGAAACAAATTCGTATTTATTAGCTAAGTGAGTTAAAATTGGAAATTGGACACTGGAAATGTCACTGAAATCTGGAAAGTTTTCATTGAGACCTTTCGATAATTATGTTTCAATGTTTGGAATTGATGATGAAATAGACCCAACAGCAGGTTGTGTTCCTCCTCACTGTAGCAAGTCGTGGAGGCTTTGTACAGTATACCACGCCTTCATTTTCACAGAATAAGAGAACAGATATGACGCCAGGATGGAGAAATTTGAAATGTACTGCACACCACCAAAAAACAAACCAATGAAAGTTACACTTTCTGAAGCTGGTTCCAAAAATGTCAATAGAACATGTTGACATATCTATGTTCAGTAGAACATGGTAGAACAATAGAATGGTATTTCACCTTTTCCACCTTTCCATTTTGGGCCTTTGTGTGATTAGAGATCCAATTGTCATTTGGAATAAAGCAAAAAATGGTCGGAGTATGTCTGCTTCGATAATCTGATCTGACTGGGAAGAATTGTTGGGAAGAGGAATAATTTTCAAAGGATGGGTCACAGACAATCTGGAAGCAAAAAAGGCACATTTGAATGTATCAATATTTCCACTTAAAACTGACATTGGAGTACAAGCAGTAGTCTTTTGCTTCCGAATTTCTTAAAATTGAAAAACAGATCATAAATACCAATAACATGCAAAGAGAAGCCCATTTCTCCCAAAGCGGTGTGTAGGATTTAAATTAGTTGAAAAAGGCTTATAATAAATGCACTTGAGGATGGGTTTTAGGCTTAAAGACATGTGGAAACCTAGGTCTGTTCCTGTTCTTGTGGTTGAAAATGATATTCTGTCCATTAAAGAGAACAGGTCAGAAAGCAGGATGTTAAAATTGTGTCTTTGCATATTTGTGGAAGAAAGAGCAAATTAGAAATAGGATGGTAGTTACCCAGCACTACAACAGGGCCCAGGGCAACTTTTTAACACATATGGGGCAGCATGTTTAAGTCTATAGGTACAAGACCAGTGTATTTGTTAGGTTACTAACAAATTGGACAAAGAGAAGAGAAACTGCAAAAAAAAAGATTTTTGGTGGTGTGCAGTAGATAACATTTTAGCTACAAACTTAATCACATAAGTAGCCATTCCCATAAAATTACAGAAACTCAAGAGTGATGAAAGGACAAATTTGACATGACCATAGAAGATGAGGTCAGCATCTGATTGTTAATATTGTGTATTTTAGTGTGGAAAAATTGCATTAGTAAGAAATAATGTAGCTTCACTCTCATTGAGAGCTGAAGTATCCTAGCTTCACAGGTAGGTATCTGTTTCAGCATGTGTAGACTGCAAAGGAACAAGTAAAGGTTTATTCCATGCTGAAAAGAGAGAAATGTATAGCTATTCAAGCTGGTTCTTACTAGGGTTGATGACTGTGATGAATGACTGTGACCTTTAGAGGAGTAAGCACAGTTTTTATTCTCCCTTGAAGCAGCAAGCCTTGTTAATTACTGGGTTAATTAATAGGTTTGTGCCAGATGCTTTGGCTTCCTCCCATAGTCCTCCCAAAAATACTGGTAGGGTAATTGGCTTCTAAGAAAATTGGTTCTGATTTGTGTGCGTTTAACTGTTTACCCATTCAGGGTGGATAGGCTCTGGCTCTCTCGTGACCCTGACTTGGCGGAAGCACTTAGAAAATAAATGGATGGATTAAAAATAAAATCTCTGTGAAAAAAGATCAGTTTCTTTATTGAACACTAGTACACAATGCACCAGTAATGAGAAAACAAATGACCTAACAGCTCAAGTCATAAAAATATTTAATATGACCAAATGTAATGAAAATAACTTTCCAAAATGCTGAAACACTTACTCTGGGGAGCATTGTGCTTTAGATATACTGTACCTTACAGAAAGTTGATAAAAACTTGTTTTTTACTAAATTTACTAAACCTCACTTCAATTACTTAATACTTAAACTGTTCGCTATCCCGATTCACAACAGTTTCTGAGGTTCAATAATTAGTGTTTGAACTTAATCATTTTAACTTGGATTCACTTGGATTTGTGCTGTCTGCAAAACCTCAAAATATCGCAAACCTTAATGCTAGTAATTAAACTCCTAGAATATTTTAGGAGGGCTCAGACCTATAAAACAACAGAAGACAGTCCTCCAGGCAGGGGGCTTGGCCTTCTTCAACATATAAAACATTCTCAGTTAATTATTTTATGCTTCCCATAATTTTTGCATTAATAGTTGAAGCAGGTCAAGGCCCAACTGTTTACATAGCCCAGCTGGGGGGACAAACCCTGTGTTTGTACAAGCTTCCAAAAGCACAGTCTGGCAGTTTCTGTTTCCCTGTTGCTGACTGTGAAGAGTTTCGGTAAAAGATAAGTGTACCCCCACCCAACACCTATACCCTGATGTCTCATAAGGCATTGTCTTTCTCAGCCAACCCTCTGCCCATCCCCTGAAGTTTATAGCCTCTAATAGTTCTGGTTTCTAGGTTACATTTTCTCATTTTTGCTGATTTTTCTTACAGGAAGAAAAGGGCATTTCCTGCGAACTCTTGGAGTTGGACTTCCTAAAATGTAGCGTGGGATTTCCTTTCATGAGGGCACAGACCAAGGTACGGCCCTTCTCTATTTCAAACACACTTCTATACACACAAGGCACACAGAAAATCAGCCATGCAGGTGCGATAATCACAGAATGTGTGCTTTATCACATACACTGTATTGAGACACACTTCCACAAGCAGCCCACATACTGTAATGTAAAAAACCACAAGCATAGAGAAAGTTGTTACCCTGTTTTGGGTTATGTAATGTTTTTTTTATATAAAATGTTTTTTTTTTAGGTTTTGGAGTGCAGCTGTGACAGATGTTACATGTTATAAATCCCTCTGCTATAATTGTGTGACAGAGCTGCATACACTGTATTTTGTAGTGATGAAAAGTGTGGAAGAGGGGGAGCATGCAATGTCCTATTAACAGCTTAACTGACCCCATCATTTTCCATTTTGTTTTTTGAGTTAGTTTTTGTTTTCAATTTTTCTGAGTTTGTGTGTGTATTTTCCAGACTAATAGCATATCCAAAAACACTACCCTATTATCAAGAAGGGTAATTTTGTTTTAGAACTGGAAACTTGGGCCATGTATAGATTTTTCGATCTAAAAATAATTGCACCAGCTTTGTGAAGCATGTGGTTTGCTTGCACATTAAAGAAAAAACAACACTTGTTGTGATAACAACAGTGTTCATATTTGTGATAATAAAATAGTGTTGATTGGTTCATTTAGCTGATTTCCTTTCAACATTTCCTTTCCATTTAGGGCCTTATGCCAATGTGAATCAACAAACTAAGAGTTTAAAAGCACTCCTTTTTCTGTTGTTTATCCATGCTAACCGTGCTATCTGGCCAAGCACATAGAGTACATCTTATCTTTCTTTGTATTATAGGTATCTGTTCACTATAAATAGCTGCAGTATTAGCTTCAACTTGTCTTATTATGAGATCATTGCCATTTTTAGAGTCATTTAGACATTTGTCCAAGAGGTTTAATAGATATTTTTTTACAGTCTTAATGAAAGGATGAAACAAATGTCATTCTCCTTGCTATTAATGCTATTAAAAGTCATTAGTACTGCTATTGCTATTGTTTGCTGTTCTGTCTACTATAGGGTCCTTTAGATAAAGTCTTTGGATAATGTAATAAGGTTCACTGGGAGACCAAAATATTTACTCTCTTCATATGAAACGGGAACTAGAAATTTATGGTTTGGGAACAAAATTAAAATTAAATGGTTATAAAAACAAAACAAAACACTTTTTTTATGTGGTGATGACCATGCGATTTTCAATTCTTCTTCATGCAGTACCATTTAGCTGTGATTTTTGACACCAGCCATCTTTCTGGAGCTGAGAGGCACTTGCAATTCCTAGTCACAGCAAAAAGGTAAAAAACCTCTCTTCTTGAAATCTTAAACAGGTGTAGAGAGAATGTGACCTGACATCAGTGAACAGGAAGGTTAGAAATGATCATATAATTGTGGTTCCGTGTGAAAATGTATCCTTTCAATTGAAACTGGTAGGATGTTTAATGGAGAGAGAGCTCAGTGACTTGTTCTTTAGCAAAATGGTACAGTACATATCCACAGCTATGCTAAAACACTGTCAATGAACTGCAGTGTGACTGTATAAATATATGTATGAAATAAATTAATGGTTGTATAAATATACTGTGTATACAGTATGATACAGCATGATTTTAAAGCCACTATGGTACACTATGTGTGAAATATTTTTCATAATCAAACTTTAAAGTTAAATTTTTTGCTGATTACTTGTTGCTGAAATTGTTTCATTGTCCATTACCACTACAAGAATAATAAAGGTTTAAAAAAAACTAAACTTTTTAACTGCCAAAATTTATTTTGTTACACAATTCCATAATATTCCCTATCATGTGGTATCAAATCATTATTGGTATCAGTATCAGATAATGGTGAGTGTTCTTATTACGGATTCTTAGAAAAGGATAAAACATTATAGCTTTTTATGAAGTATATAAACTTTATATAGTTAGAACAAGCACTTCAAAACATTTCTAAAATAACCACTGTAACTAACTGATTTTGATTATTTTATGCATAAAATGTTTATGAAGACAGTCGAATACTGTGTGTACTTTGTTTTTTTTTTATTTAGCTACCACTACCATCTACTGTATGTACATTAGGTATACATTATGTATGAGACCATATGGCTTTAAAGCCACTACAGTACAGTGTGTGTGAAATATATTATACATAATTTAAATTTGAAGTTAAATTGTTTCCTGATTACGTGTTGCTGAAATTTGCATTACATTAGGTACTGTATATATATATTTTTAAACTTGTTTTTATTTTCAGCTACATTTCCATATTAATATTCTATATAAAGTGGATTTAAACATACACAGTAGAGATACAGATTAAATGAAGCAATCATTTCAATAACATTTAATGCACCACATTTGACACCTATTGATCAGTGATTCAGTCATTCATTTTGAATGATTATTCTTTCTATTAATGTGAAATGTCTCACACGTGTTTTGGACAACATTTTTGAAGCCTTCCAAAAAAAAATCCACATTGCATCTAGATGATAGAAATCATCAAACAAATTTAGGCAACAGTTAGAAAACACTTTTAATATTGTTATTATTTTTAAAAATGTTTTCTATCAGCAATATTTAGAAATATTTTAGTATGAAAACAGATTGTTCGGTTGAGAGATATGCTCAATGAAATTACAATACACAAACTACACTTTTATCACACAGTGCTCATAATGTTAGTTTGTCCTTTGCAAATGATGATGAAAAAATCTAGCAAGTAATTCAAATTCATGGAAAAACACCAAAAAGAATCAATTAATAATTTTCACATTGTAAAATGATATGAAATCAAATTATATAACAGTTGCAGTATACAATAAACTGTTCATGAGAAGGTAGTTGCTGTACTGTAGATCAAGGGTCTTAAACTCAATTCATAGACACCCTTGTGTCTTCTGGATTTTGTTCCAAACTGACCTGTTAAGTTGTGAATTAACTTATTCATAGATATATATGGTAACTTGTCTTCATGCTTTTTACAGCTTATTACATTTGTTTAATTAAAGTATGATAATCTACAAAACACTCAGAGACTCTTGTCAGAAGTTAATTCAAATAATTATATAATCTATGTAACTGAGAACTTAAGAAAATAAAGATTGAAAATGAGAGCATGTTATGTGGCCCATCTGGTAGTAGGATATCAGCTTCAACAACATGGATCAACAGTATGGTTCACATTTCCGCATAAGGAAGTGCCCCGTGTTTTAAATGTACTTCCAAGTAATTTCCAGTTGTGTTGTGTTCAAAATGAGAGTTCATGTGAAGCAAAAAACTAAATTAGCTAGTCTATTTTGAGACCCTTGCTTTACATCTGTTGACTTTAAGAAGCTGCAGTATTACCAACGGCTTTTTAGTTCATGGGTTTATATACATTTTTATAGTACTTCTGAACATTTACCTAACTGGATCAATACTTTCTTTTAAGCACAGAATAACTGTGTCTTTATTGAAAACCTACTGAACAAAGAGAGTTCGTACAGGCTGTTAAGTTTTATATAAATTTATTAATGTAAAAAACCTGGCAGCCTGACCAATATATCTGTCAAAAAACATTTTTTATTCCAGAGTAAAAGTAAAGAAGTAAAAAACTACTTCTAAAGTAGTAGTAAAGAATATTACCTTGTTTCTACCTCTAGTGTTTGTGTAAATTATTTTGACAATTGTTTAATCTAGTATTTATGTTTCCTTTTGTGTAGTGCAAATCCAGAGCATGAAAGCAAGCTGTCTGACAACATTCTACACCTCTCTATTCCTCTGATACATGAAGTTGATACAACCATCACTGGGTATGTGGAACATTTTAAGGCTGCTTTTACTTATGCTAGTCCTGCGTTTTTCTAGAATGACATCAAAGAAGAAAATGCTTGGACAAAAAAGTGTATTTACAAACATAGTTTTTATGTGACAGGTGTCATAACCAAAAAAAAATAACAGGCACTTCTCAATTTTAAGAAATGGCACATAATTAAAAACCATGCATAACTTATTCCACATAAGACCGCATAAAAATTGGAGGGGGATGCACACTGAGGTCCACTCCCAACCCTGGATTTGAAACTAAATAAAAGCCATTACAAACATTTATTCATGGAAGATGTTTATTTTAAAATTCAATGTTTCAATATCATGTAAAATGTTTGTGTAATTGAAATGTATAAATTAAAGAAAAACACTTCTTAGCAGTGGGTAATGAACAGTGTGGGAAATTCATTAATCATATGCCCATAGACTCATCTGGACTGCCCAGTTATCTTCAGTCCTTTTGTTATAAGAGAGAATTTTACATATAATATATTTTAAAGTGTTATACATAATGTTACAAATATTTTTATTTATTTAAGGTTTTTACTGTTTATTAGTTTAACAAAGCATTCCTTAAACCTAAATAAAAAGGACTTCTTATTATCTTGTAGGTTTCTTATCATGAAGGGTTTATCAATAGTAAGAATGTGTTCAGGAAAATGCATTTCCTTTCAAGAAATTCCTGCTAATAAAGGAACTACTCTAGCTCCTTTATATTGAAACAGAATTCCCATGAATATGGGGTATTAAAAGGCTTTTTGTTTTTCTTAGCAGCTTTTCATTATGAACACATTTTGTGCTATATTAAAAATATTATTTTGCTAGAAACTTTGAGGTGGCAGATTTTTCATGCTTTTAAAACATTTCTATTGGTAAATGAAGTCTGTACAATTCTTGTTTTTAATAGCTTTAAATTTGCAGTGTTTTTTTGACAAATTCTTTGCTTTAAATTTCACAGTAGCTTTGTTGCATCCATTTTATTTTAATTGTCTGTAATGTAAGTACAAGGTACTTAGGAAATAAAGTTATAGATTTATTTAGTACTGTAAGGGTGAGATGACAGGAGATGAACAGTGGTAGAACACTGAGATAGATTTCCCAGCTGCTTGTGTGTCACAGTAAGTTACTATTTATTCTGCCAGTGAATTGTTTATATACAGCATGTATAATCTCAGACTCTCTGTTCAGTTGCCTGTGGCTGACCATGGTAAGGTATGTTAAAGTGAGAATTTAATCTTTCTTAAATTAGGACATGGTACATGTACAGTATATATTTGTGAGCTCCAATAAAGAAAACAGACAAATAAAGAGCACTTAATTCAAGACCTAGCTGTACAGTGCCTCCACAAAAAACACCATATAACAGAAAGAGTTCAGATTGCATAATGTGTCTACTTTACAACAATTCTAAAACAAAGTCATACTGTGTAAAATTACATTAACATTAGCTTTGCTCAGACCAAAGTCAAAGCAAAAACACAAGGGTCACATTTGTTCAAACCTTTTAAATATTCCTTTAAATAAATTGTAACAAAATCAATTGTACAGTCACGTTCAGTTTTTTCCTTCTAAGGCAAATGAGGAGGCCTTAGAAGGCTTCTGCTTTCTTGGCCTTTAAAAAAGGAGGTAACACACAAAAGATATTCAGTTGTATCGTGTAGCATCATGTATAAGGTCAGTGAGCAAAAAATGGATTTGGACCTCCATAAGCTGGGACATGACTAGAAACAAATCTACTGAAGATGAATCCAATAACACTTTGCTCCTTAGTGTCCATTTTTAAGAAATTTAAGGCTACTGGTGCAAAGCCAGCCCTTCTAGAAAACAAGTGTATCATTCCACCATGAACTGTGAGACATGCGGCTCTGGAGGCATCTACTTATCCAAGATAGCAGTTGAAGATCTCCGAAACAAACTGACATCTGCAAGATACAAAGTGTTGAAAACTACCATTCAGCATCTATTTCGTGAAATGTGGTATTCATGGCTGGCTTGCAAGGAAAAATTCCCTTCTGAAGGTTAACCACCAAAAGTGGTTACTAGAATTTGCCAGATCACCCTCTCTTATAGGGAGAATAGTGAAATAGGGAGAACAATGAAATTATGGACATTATGGCCAAACATTTGTTTCCTGTGCCAAGAAACTATGGCTGGAAGCATAACAATAATATCAAGCATACAGTACATACAGGTAAACAAATACATTTTTAAATGAAACAAAATAAATATTCTCGGCCAGTCAACTCTAGATTTCATTCTAATCAAACATTTGTGGTTTGAAGTCAGAAAGGCAGTTCAGAAATAGTTAATAAAATAAAATGGTTTGAAGGAAGAGTAACGTTCTTTGAGAAATGGAAAAAAATATCCTCTCAGAAGTACCAGAATTTCACAAGGCACCACAGGAGCACCTACTCCTACCTACTCAGTGTGAATTTACAAAATTGTAACTACAGATGTTTTCTGGATTTAAATAACAACAAATGGAATTAATCTGTACACTACTGTAAAGAAAATTAAATTACCTTTTAATTTTTTTAGCTGTACACATTATCCAGTCCATAAACCTTCCTGTTGTATGTTTTGTTTTCCTATTTTACTTCATTTTTTACCTTATTTTACTTGTTTTCCTATTTTACTGGCAGTATGAACAAATCTGGAGGGCATTTACTATATACTTGCTACATGTACATATTGTTGTTTTATACAGAGTGTGTTTGACATGGAGGGAGAGCTCTTAGTAGGGAGTGATGTGTTGTCTCGGTAAGCACATCTGAATGGAATGTGTGTTAAGGAGCCTCAGCTGTGGTAGTGTTTTAAAAGCAAGTTGAATGCTTCCCCAGAGAGAGAGATCGAGCTCTTAGGATCTTAGTCCTGTGTTTTCTGCAAATGTGAGAGGACATGGGAGACCTGTCCCATATGTGGAGGTTCGGCTCTGAGTGAACCAGGCTGATGCAGGACAGCAGCGGGTGTGAGGTGCTGCTAGTAGAGGTGCTGTTAAGAGAGGATGTCTGCCTTATAAGTGCGAGAAAGAAAGTGCAGCTGAACCCTGAGAAGAGTGACAGTACCAGAGGGAGCTGTAGATAATTGTGTAAGAGAACCCAGAAGGGACCGGGAACAGTGACAGTTTGAGAGGGACTGTCTAAGAGCCTTAAAAACAGGAGCCTTAGAAGAGCTCAGAAATTTAAAAAGGGACAGTAGCTTGTTATGGTATAAGAACAGGGCTGTCTGTGAATCCACTGTATCTGTTAGTGTAGTGTGAGTCAGGTGAGTAAATGTGTATGCCAGAGTGTTGTGTGTGGCAGAGGGACCCTCCCCCAGGTGATACCTCTGTTGTCTGTTGAAAACACAGTGGTGGTCTGCAGTGTGTTTGTGAATACGGTGGTGGTTAGGCATAGGGAATGTGTGCTGACAGCTGAGAGTGCACAACCTGGAGAGTGTGATTGAGGTGCCAGAGGGGTTGTGTGTGAGTGATTTTGGTTAGGGTATATGTGTTGAGTCTCGGCACGTGTAGTGAAGTGTGATACAAGGCTCAGATCATTAGTATAAGCATCTAGGTGCAAGAGTGAGGCACCGTGTAGTGAATTTTGTGTGAGGCCCAGCCTGTTGGCATCTGGTGAGGACATCAGAGTATGGAGGTAGACCTTGATAGTCCAGGCATGACTGGGGATGAGAGACACCGTCAGCATTATAGAATGGAAGAGCAGGAGGCTCTAGGTGTGGTGGCTAGGAGCAGGGAGGCTCCTTGCAACAGTGTCTCACCAGTGAGAAGGGTGAAGCTCGTTGAGTGCAGGTAACCACAAGCAAAGGGCTTGGCTTGGCTTGGAAACTCCAAAGAGGACCATGACGTGGGGGAGTTGGAGACTCTGGGCCTGAGAGTCCAAGGGCCAATAGCTGTCTGAAGCACCATGTGGGGGGCCATGCTCAATACCACTCTCAGAGGAGAGTGCATGTAATGAGACAATTAGAGCCAAAATGTACCAGACAAGCGGTTCACACCCAAGATGGCTGCCACTACCCCGTGGCGTCACTATATATATATAAATATACATACCAATTTGCATTGGTGGTTTTTAAGTTCAGAAAGATTGTAAAAGAACTGTAAATTCTTTATATTTTTAAGGAGTGTTCTTACATTGTAATGAAATAGCATAACATTTTGGGAGGTTCCAGTTTTTGTCTTTACTTTATTGTCAAAACATATTGTTAAGCTTAGAAAACACCTGGAACAAGCTATAATAAAACTATAATAAATATATTCTATAAAATGTTCAGTTTGTGCCTTTAAAGCAGAAGGAAGCTAAAAAAAAATTAATCAGAGTGTTATATCTAAGCAAGGAAGGATGAGATACAGAATTGTAACGGCTTCCTGGGGGGAGGGCAAATAAACCAAAACAGCTCATTAAAGAACATACTTTCGTATTACTTTTATCTATTTGAAAGACAGTTTTAAGGAAAGAAAATTTAGAAAAAAAGACATTCACTTATCTGCTAGTTCCTCTGTATGGCTGCCTGTTTTCACTCAGTTTTGAAGCAGGCATCCTGTTATATTTGGTGTGTGACTTTTATTCTGTTTTATTGTGGTCTGTGCAATTTATACAAGTAATAAACTGTTAACCCATGGAAATAAAAAGTGAAATAGTTATTTAACGCTAATCACAATAGAATATAAAAAGATAAAAATGAACACTGATGCATTTTTTAAACAATTTACACAATCAGACTGAATTTAAAAAGTTTTTATGTGATATATAGAATCTAAATGAAATGATGACTGATTGGTAGTGTCTTATGGAAATGATTTTGAAGACAATCACTTTTTTCTGTACCTGGAGTGTGGAAATGAATTTTGCTCTATATACTGTATTTTAGAAGACAGTTAAATAACTAGCAGCTTCATGTACAGAATAATTCTACATTACATTAGGAATCAATTCAATATTTTTTTAATAGGAATGAATTTTCTTAGCAAAGACAGACTTAGAATATTTTAGAATATTTATAGCTAGCACATTATGATATATCATTTCTTTTCATATGCTTCTGATAAATAAGCATGAACTCCAACAAACACTTCAAACTTCAGTTGTGGGGTATAGGGAAGTACTTTGTTTAAATTATTACATATTTCTGGAACTATGAAGATACAGTAGCTGTTGAAGCCGGTAACCTTGCTTCCTTCAAGAAACAGCTGGCTAAGATCCTACTACCAAATGGGCTCCATTGCCTGAATTCTTCTTATATTCTTATTCTAGGGAAATAAGAAATAAGGTTAATAGTTCATTTTCCTAGTTGCTTAGTATTAACTTCCAGTTCATTGGCAGGGGCATCATTGTTATTTACAATCTTTTTTACAATTTAAGTCCTATTACTATAACTCCTCCCTCTTCTTTTGAGTGCCTTGCTTTAAATGTCTCTATCCCCCAATCTACTATCATTGCCACAGTTAATAGACCACCCAAACCCAGCGAAGCCTCCTTAGGTGAGTTTGCTGATTTACTCTTATTTTTATGCCTTAACTTTAAAAGGATCCTTATTCTAGGGGACTTTAGTATATACATTGATTCAAGGTCTTCCAGTCTGGCTGAACTACACATACAGTAACAAAGGACACATCCAAGATTTAATCATTGCCAATTACTCTTTTGTCTCCCACTGCTCTTCCCTTGATCTAGGCTTCTCTGACCACTTAGCTATTCTTTTCAATCTGGAATTACCTGTTTCTAACACTTCCCCCTCACGCTCCGTAAATTTCCGCAACTGGAAATCAATTGATCACCCTAGGTTTGCAAATTCTGTTCTGTCCTCCTTATCTTGTTTCTCTTCCTCTGACCCTCTAGAGGACAAAATACAGTTACTTGACAGTACTCTTTTATCTACCCTTGACACCTTTGCTCCTTTAAAAATTCAAGCCATCTCCTTCTGTCACCCTGCCCCCTGGTAAGACGATCATCTGCGATCTTTGAAGGCAGCCTCCCTCAAACTTAAGCGTAGGTGGCATCAGTCTGGCCTAAATGTACATTATCAGGCTTGGAGAGATTACTTGTCTGAATATAAGGTTACAATAGATCCACTTACAATAGGTCCTAGATCCACCTACTTCTCTCACATCATTGAAAATCACCATAACAACCCCAGCCATCTTTTCTCCACCATCAACAGCTTGCTAAAGCCACACTGCCCCACCACATTACCTGCCTCATCAAAAGTTTGCAACACATTCTTAGATTTCTTTACCTCCAACATTGACAATATCCGACATTACATTCTCTCCACTACGCATATAATTTCCATTCCTCCTCCTCCTTATCTAACTTTTCTGGTTCCCTTCTCTCCAGCTTCTCTCTTCTTGACTCAGAATCCCTCAATAAATGAGTTACACACATGAATCCCACAACATCTATTTTAGATCCCATTCCCACCACTTTATTTCAGTCCTGTTTCTCTTCTCTCTGTCCCATTGTCCTCAATATTATAAATGAATCCTTGAGCACTTGGTTCAAGTACTGGTTCACTTGGGCATTGTACCAAAGGTCCGCAAAACTGCTGCCATTACCCCGTGCCAAAAAAGCCTAACATGGCTCTCGACAATCTTAACAATTTTCGCCTCATCTCCAACTTACCCTTTCTTGCTAAATTTATAGAATGTGCTGTCACATTTCAGTTACATAACCATCTCATGACAAATAACCTTTTCGTACCCCTCCAATCTGGCTTCCGTCAACTTCACAGCAAGGAAACTACCCTGATCAAAGTACCTAAAGATCTCCTAATAGCTTCTGATTCTGGTTCTCTTTCTATACTCATCATTCTTGATCTCAGTGCTGATTTTGACACTGTTGACCATGACACCTTACTTTGTCATCTTTAGACTGTGTTTGGAGTTTCTGACACTGCTCTCAAATAGTTCAAGTCTTACCTCACTGATCGCTGTCACTCTTTTAATGGGTATAGGTCTGAAATTGGTCTTGTTAAGTCTGGTGTTCCTCAGGGCTCGATACTGTCCCCTTGCTCTTCAGCATTTACATGTTTCCACTTGGTCAGCTTTTAAGATCACATGGCCTCAGCTATTATTTCTACGCTGATGATACTCAAATATACATCCATACCAAACCTGACAAAAACTCAAAATTTACTTCATCTTTATACTGATGAGACTGAAGTCATGCTTATTGGCACCCCCCATCAACTTCGTAAAGCCAGTCCTATAACCCTATCTGTAGATGGTTCTGTACTTGAGCTTCAGTCTAAATTAATAAATCTTGGAGTGATATTTGATTCTGGCTTAACATTCTACCCACACGTGCAGCTTATTGTCAAAACATATTTTTTTCACCTCAGAAATATTGCTAGACTATGCCCTATGCTATCACTAATTTTGGCTGAAAAGCTGATCAACACATTTGTGTTCTCTTGAATTGACTGTAATGCTCTACTCGCTGGGGTATCTAAATCTACATTGAACAAGCTGCAGTATGTCAAAAATTCAGCAGCCAGTATCCTGACCAGGTCTAGTGCAAGTGATCACATTACTTCTATCATGGAGTCCTTGCACTGGCTTCCTGTCAAATTTTGTGTGGACTTTAAAATTCTCATGCTCACCTACAGTATAAGGCTCTGCATGGCTTGGCACCTCAGTACCTGTCTGAACTATTATCGCCCTACTCCCCACCTCACAACCTTCGCTCTTCTAATTCTGGTCTCCTTACTGTCCCTCAAACCCGTCTACATTGTATGGGTGACAGGGCCTTCTCCTGTTATGTCCCCAAGCTCTGGAACTCTCTGTCAAAGGATATCAGAGAGTCACCTTCTCTAAACTCCTTCAAACCCAGACTCAAAACCTTCTTCTTTCGAATAGCCTTTACTTAACTGGTTCCATTCTTCAACCCTCTGCCTTTCTTTGTACCACCATCCACAGTCTCCTCTGTATATTGTAATGGTGTTTTATCTTGTGTATTCTTTTTATTTATTGTTGTTGTCATTCTGTAAAGTGCTATATAAAATAAAGTTTATTATTATTATTGCTTTCTATCAAAATCCATAGCTGATGTTTCACATTGTGAAAGTACTGTATATTCTGATTCCCCAATTTGCTGCGTCTTTTTCTTTAGTCACAGTGTACAATAAGATAACTGGATTTTCATTTTATTGTAAGTTTACTTAAATGTCTCTTTTGTGACGTCATTTTTCTGAGTACTTTGATTATTGTGACTATTAGTAAAATGTGAAACCAATTAAATCTCAGAGTAAAAGTTGAATGAGATTTAAATTGATAAGAATAATTTGAAGCAAATGAACAGTAAACAAAATCATTTTACAAATAATGTCAGGTAAAATCTTTGCATGTCATTGTTCATATCAAAAAGGTGCTTTTAAAATATGCATAAAAATATTTTCATTAGGAGAAATTAGTAAGTGCTCCAAAAGTAGAAGCAACTCAGGCCAATATCAATGTTTTTTTTAATGAAATAACGTCTCCCTTGGCTATACATTACATACTGTACATCAATTAAAATTGCATTTCACACCTGAAACCATTTATTTGAGTAGTTTATTGTCCTCCATGCCCTTTCTTACTTTCCTGTATTAAAGCACATTTGATTTAAAAGAGAGAATGAGAAACATTGATTTGAAATATGCAAAAGTGCATAGTGAGTATTGTTGACTCTTTTTTTTCTCAAGAGGGCTTTGACAGTAATAGATTTAATAATGATGTATTACCAATATTAAAACAGCAGCAATAGGAAGAAACACTATTAGATGATTCCAATAAGCATTTTCATGTAGCTCAGGGTTTAGAATTAGTGGGGCATTTGTAAATGTTCTTGCATGTGCTGTATTTTGTGAGGGGACTGATCCCTATCTAAATTACTGTTTACTGAAACAGTATAGAAATGTAAAGTATAGATGTTTCACTGTTGCCTAGTTTCATGCCTAAAATATCATGTTTGTCAGTGGGCATTGCTTCCAGGACAGTTTCCCTTCTTGACATACAGTACCATACATCTGTTGTGCAACTTTGAGAACAACAAGTAAAAGACAAAAATCACCCAATCACCCTGAGTAATAGGTCATGTGGTTTATGCAAGACAAGTTCCTAGTTTTAGGTGATCAACACTTGGTGTCCCCATCCATAGGTGAAGTACAGTCATGCCAATTAAATATTGAAAACTTGCAGAAGTGGTATACACAGACAACAAGGATGTTATACCAATTTTTAATATGGCTGCCTGTTGAGCAATGTTGTTTTTTGTGGTTAACAGTGCTTGACTTGGCTGTATGTGTTCAATTGGGGTAAGGCGCAATCACACATTGTGCATGATGTTGATTGCAGATTGTTACAGAAAGTGACTCATAATGTGGAATGTGGGGATGGTCTTAATTTTGTTGAAAATTAACATTACATTAATGTTGCTTTTGCCATATTGGTGGGTGAACTCACAGCTCTTGATAACTAATGCTACCCATTATGATTACCATCAAATCAGGTGGTTTCCCCATCATCATTCTACACCAGATCTACAGTATGGATATAGTGCACAGCAGCAGTTTTACAAATTTAGCTTTATCCTTCCATTGCAGAGGAGTTTTAAAACTCTGCTGTTGAGAATTGTGTTTTATATACCTATTAGCATTTAATTATTATTGTTGTTGTAAATTGAAAATCCAGGAGTATATCATTTTCTTTCTATAATTCAGGTATATCTTGAATAAATGATCTACATCAGGATGGATGATTGTTTTTTTCATGTCACTTATTTCTTGTTCCACCTTTTGGAAACATGTTTTTTTATCAAATCAAATCCAGTGACTCAAAGTGCTGTCTTTCTCAGTGTGGTCTCGCCAGATTCCTTTCTGTATGGAGATTCTGTTGAGGCAGCCCGGTTTGTGCAGCTGGAGGAGATGGAGTGTAGCTTTCAGCCTCTCAATTTCACTTTCCAGGTAAAACATGGCTGGCCAATACTGTCTTTTTTACTGTTGGTGTCTGTCCTGCTTTCTGTTAAATCCCACTGTGGATTATATGGGTAGTCCACATAAGTAGAACTCTGATTAGAAGAGAATAAGAAGTAAAAAAAATAAATGTTTTTTTTTATTGCCTGCTTTGAACTTAAAAAGCTGTTAGGAGTTAGCTGTATGTGGAATTTTATGTTTATTTTTTAGAAAACTAAAATACATTCACATTTATATTCACCTGATGCATACTTTAATCTATGGGATGTTTCAGATATTAAATGTTTTGTTGTTTAATTATTGAACCTTCCTCATGATCATAGTAACTATTGTCAGGAATGCATATTATAAAAAAGTAATATACAGAAGATAGTGAAAATTAACTCCTCTGTACTCCCCTTGAATTGACAGTGGAAGGTTTACATAAAAGTGCATGTCTTTGCATCCTTCATTTTCTTTGCCAAAGTGGACACATTTTATCACCCAATCAAACTCAAGGTTGTCAGAATAATGACTTGGCACTGTGCATGAATTTATATTGTGCGCAAATTCCTTCAAGGATATATAGCTCTCAGGAGAGGAATACTCAGCACTTTAAGAGTTTTTATTTCAAACACATTACTGAGAAGCAGTTTACCCAACAGCAAAGTACAGTTCACACAATAGCTATCTGTTGCCCTGTTCCGATTAACAGATAAACTTAGGGTTAACATCAAGTTTGGCTGATCATTCCAGGAAGGACCACCAGAGCTGTTAACTTTCCCGTTTCCTAAGTTGCCTGCAGTGCCAAATATTTAAACTTTCAGCTCTGAATGGGATATTTGTATTTTCATTTTTGAATTGTGATCTAAGACATAATACATGTTTTTTTTGTGTATTTGTTCTTTACTTGAAATCTTAACTTAAAAGTGAGAGAGATAGAACACTTTAAGTAATTAGAAATGACAAAAATGCAGCAAAATGTGGCACAGGTAGTACATTAGCCAATGAATTAAAAAAAAAATTTGAGAGGAGGTATTCATTAGTGACAGAGCATGCCATTTATTGGTCTTTGCCTGATTGTACACTATCACTATACACTATATTTCACGGTCGTAATCCCTCCTCTTAAGGGCGCTCCGGCTCTTTCACATTTTGCTGATTTCATGCACCTGCCTCCAATCCTGCCCCTCCTAATTTAAGCCTGGGGCTCGCGCATTGGAAGACGGACGTCTAAGTAATAGAAAACACAGAGTACAAGTCAAGGAAGAAAGCAAAAATATGGGAGATGTAATTAGTGGAATTCTAAAGGGATCTGTACTAGGACCACTGACTGCTCTTCTAAATGTGTATCATTCAACTAGAGTATTGCAGGGTTATTAACAAAATTAGAGAATTACAGAATTAAGATGCACTGTAGAAAATTGATTAAAAAAGATTTAGATAAAATTACAGACTATACAAACACCTGTGACATTTCATGTAGATAAGGCAGGGCTTTTCATACTTTACAAACAATAAATACTAAATTAGAAGCACTGACCTACTGTGGAAGGCTTTTTATGAAATAAATATAGGTTACGTGTACATACTCTAAACAATGTGTGGAAACAATAAAAATGTCAAAAGAATGTTAGGATATATAGTCAAAAGCATTTAAATTAAGGAATATTTATAGAAAGGCCTCATATAGAAAATTATGTGCAATTTTGGTCACCACATTATACAAAAGATTGCTGTTCCAATACTGAGATGCTAAAGGAACTTTTTATGTATTTAACAGAGAAGACTATGTGTGGACCTAATGCAAACATACAAGTTCCCACTACACATTAACAAAATCAGCCCAATGGACTTTTTTCAGAATAAAAAGTGAAACATGACCTAGAGGACACCAGCTGTGATCTGAAAGTGCATTAAGAATTGAGAACAGGAAGCACTTTCCCACCTAAAGCATTGTTTATGGAACAAACTTCCCAGCCATGTTGTTGAAACTGTACCCTGGTTTCTTTCAAAAGACAACTGAATGAGATCCTAGAATCAATTATCTGCTGAATACCCAATACGTTTTGGCTGTGAAGCCTTCTTCAGGCATAGCTACAGTAGGTTGTGGTTTTTTTAAACCAATCTTAGTTCTTAACTTATTTTTATTTTAGTAATGGACAAGTATGCATTTTCCAGTTCCGTAATGCAGAATTAAATTTTATTTTGACACAAATTTAATCTCTGGTACAGTGCAGTTTGTGCTTATAGTGGTGCAGTGTGGTTCATGAATGGCCAATACTGAGCCTTGTTTGTTGTGATAACAGCTTCTGTTGTCATGTTTTGCATTTACTGTTACTTAGTTCTTAGTAACCAAAACATTTACTTAATTGACAGGGTTTGAAAGTATACTGGTGATGGTTGTGCAATCAGAGTACATATTTTGTAAATGTTTTTTCTTCCTGCAAAAATATGACATTCACAAAAATGTCACTGGGAAGAATATACTTTTCTTCCTATATGTTGGCTGGTTTTAATTCTTGGTCAATTTCATGCCTCTGTACACAATTATTTGGATCTCCTTTAAACTAATTATAGCGTGTTTTTTTAAAAAAACAGGAAAACATACTATTGCCAAATATACTCAGCCCTTTGCTGAAAACAGTGCCAATGACCCAGATTTAGTTCCTTTGGCAAGAAAAATTCCTAATTGTGTTGTATCTTCCTGAACAAGTGACCCAAATAACATATTGTTTATATGAGTTGTTCATATTTTTGAAGTATCACTTTGCATATGTTTTACTGTTAATTATGACTCACAGGGGCTTAAACATAGTCAGTGTACCATGAAAATACTCTATGTCTGTATCTGTAAAGTATACTGTAATCATATCTTAGTTAGTCTTGATGCATAATAAAACTAACGTAGGTAAACTAAGAGATGAAGATTTGCTCATTTTGTTGTACAGCTGTGCTATAAAAAGTATTTGTATAATTTTTATCTGTTTTATTTTTATATCTCTGTGTAATCATGTGTTCTCCAAAACTGTTTCTGTTGTTCCTCTAGGTTATAAACAATGGACCCAGCAGCCTGCCTGGCTCCACCATTCATATTCGGATTCCTAATCGCTTAGTTGGCAGTGGGGCAGACATGTTCCATTTACTTGACACAGAGGTATGTGCTCACCATACGTTTCTGTCCACTTTCTCATCAGTGCTCATATTGCAGCTAACCACTGCAATTGACTACATCAGTGGTACAAAAATACAAAATATATATATTTTTTATTTTCAACATATCTGCTTTGACACACGTTATACATGGTTGTTGAACCCAATATCATGGATACTTTCTAGCAAGAGTGGTGCCTAAGATACATTTATAATCTGTTCTTTTATGGTACCAGATTATTAATGTCATAAACACTTTGTATTTTTTCCCAGTCCTCCCTTGAGGTTTAGTTGTGAGAAATAAACAATTGTTTTACTTTGCCTTTTTTTCCTTTCCAAACTCTTTTGCTCAATACTATAAATCATTGGTGTCCACTGTATTATCCACCTGTTAAGCTGTTGGTGGTCATCACATTTTTTCTGACCACACCAGGTTTGCCCTTTTGGTGTTAATGACACCAAAGCTAGGATTCAGAAACAGAGTTCAGTATTTCTACATTTATATCAAAAGTCAAACAGTGTATTGAAGAGTTTATATAGTATTTTATTTCTCCTGCCATTGGAACATATTCATTTTTTCCTTAAACTATATGTAGAAATGAATGCATATGTAACATACTGTATATGTGTAATATGTAAACATGTATGTACATATACTGTATCACACATATATGTAATAATAATATTGATTGTGCCTTCTCTCAATTATAATACATTATGATAAATAATATATTATAAGTGTTTAATATTGATTGGTTACAGTACAATGTATATTCAGCCCTTCATACAGTGTTATTGACAGTGTTGTAGAATTGAACTACATACAGTAGACACCAGAAGAGATTTATTTGTTGTTGACCTTCAAAATAGTCTGTTTGCACTATAGTACTATAAGAATCTTGGAGGATCCAGCCAACAGTCTGGTGGGTAGGAGGTAAGAGGATTTGAAGAGAATGTTTCCAAGTATGGTTGTCTGTTATTCAAAAGAAGAAAAAAAGTGAAAGATACATTTGCGTGACCTCCTGCTAAGACTGGTAATAAAATCCTGCTGAAAATGCAGACCTCAGGACAGATATATAGGCATGGTCTTAACAAAAACAAACAATGGTGAGCCTGGAGAAACTACCATGAAATTCCTGCATTTCCACCCAAAGGAACCTTAAACCTGGCTTCTGGGAAGGAAAGGCAGAAAAAAGGGGAAAACAGTTAGTGCTCCCATGAGGTCTAGACTTTAAGAGCCAAAATGTGAGAAACATCACCATGAATCAGTATTCTGAAAGGGGGCCTTGACAGATATCACTGCTCTCCCTTTCCCTTCGCGGAACTGCTTTGTAAATAAACCTGGGGGTGTTGTTGTCTGGCTCCAGCTGAATGAGGATTTCCTTTAACCCTCTTCCTCAAGACAACTGCTTTGGCATCACCAGGCAGCAATAAATGAGAAAACACTGAGCACAAACTTTTTGTAATCACTGGCCTTGGGCAACAAGATGTCTGAGGTGGTAGTCCAAGAGAAAAGTCACACATCAGGCATGTCATTAGTGAGCATTGTAAATTTCTTATTGCTTAGTTTAAGAGTTCCTTAATTAGATAACATAATATACATTTCTGTTTAGGAAACAGCTGGAGGGTGTTTTAGTCACTGTTACTCTCAATATCTGAATTACATCTGTAATGCTGACTGTACCATCTGGGATTCTGTCAAACCTAGGTTGCTGAAGGAAGAGGGAACTGTTCGCAGCACATCAATCCCACACCCTGCACTGTGCCTCAGGATAAAGAGAGCATCTTCCACACCATCTTTGCTTTCTTCACCAAGTCCGGGAGGAAGGTCTTGGTAAGATATTGCGTAATGGACCTATTATAATAATAATAATAATAATAATAATAATAATAATAATAATAATAATTGTTTACACTTACATAGCGCTTTTCTGGACAGTCCACTCAAAGTGCTTTACAGGTAATAGGGACTCCCCTCCACCACCACCAATTCACCTATAGACGTGAAGGAGGAAACAGAGCAATTTTGATTTCTATGGAGTTTGAGTTGAGATGGGGAGATGGGGGTAGAGTACATTTGGCCCCATTTACTGTACATTTCCTTAAGTTTTCTTATTCAGTTTTGAATGTTTGAAAGCCAGTGTGAATGCCTGACTCTTTCTTATTTTCTGTCTCATTAGGTTACTCACTAGTTCAAAAAATACCCTAACAACAAAATGTGTGTATATGTAGCTTTATGCAGTGGTTTCTCCTTGTAGAGTGTTCTGAAAACTGTGGTGTTGTTGTGGGAGATACTAGGATAAAATGTGTTTTTAATTAAATTAGTGCTGACAGACATTCCATAAAAGTTTTAGACATCATCATCTCAGTAATATTATAACAGATTTTTATATAAACATCTTTTCTGTTTATTCTCCTTTTCAATTTATGCAATCATAAAGATTTCTGCTCTTTATGCCTGAGAAGTGGTCTGTATTATATGCTGTGTCTTTTTAGTTATTTTAATTAAACATGCGCTTGTATTAGTTGTGTTTTTTCTGTTCTTGTTTATGTTTAGGTTGCTTTATTATTCTTTATATTTCTACTCTTAAAAATAGACAATATGGTTTCTCAAAATGATTGTCTTAGAAAGTTGCTTACATTTTACACGTCTTACATTTTATTTGGAGGAAGTTAGTAAACAGGTATGAGACAGCCAATTCAACATAACCAGGTATACTCGTTCTGGACAGCTATAAAGGCTTGTACTACTGTATATGCTGCTCGATTAACCGGAACAGCAAGCTAATGATTTTAATTTATTTTGCAATTATTTCAGGACTGTGATAGACCTGGTCGGTCTTGTCTAATGATAACTTGTCACTTGATGTCATTGGGGAGAGAAGAAATGAGGAGCATAGACTTACGAATGCTACTGAACACAGAGATAATAAAGAGAGTAAGTGCTACAGTAACTGATTCTGACCCGTCATCTGCTTAACATGTAGATCAATGAATGCAAGAAAATCTTGTTTAGTTAAGTGAACAATTTGTTTCCACCTTTTTATATATTTGATAATAATCATATTAGTCTGTAATATTTTACTATTGATGGTGTATTAACATTTCAGTGTAATTACTGGGTGAAATATCACCGCTGATGTTTTTTTTTTTCATTTTTCATCACTGAGACGTTTTTTTCTCTTTTTCAAACAAAACATTATCTTCTAATGATTTATAGCTTCAGCAGATATGCTTTTTATCTTTTCAAAGAAGCAGTACTATGTGTGCATTGGAATATATTAAGGATTAATGCAATCTAACTTATTTCCCAAGTTTATTATCCCCAAAACTTCACGTTCAAGAATTTATCACTTTTATCCTTTCTGAATATCTAATTAGCAGAACTTTTTTTACAGTTTTCTTGAACGTTTTTATTTAATTTTAACATTTTTTATTTTACTTTTAAACATAAAAATTATTTCCACAATGTGATGTTAGTCTTTCTAAAATTGATTAATTTGGTGCCACAGTGTAAAATAACAACTACTGAAGCTACAACTGATCAGGTACACCAAGGATATGACATGACTATTGTATATTTTCCATTTTATCCCTTACTAACTGCACAGTGTCACTGAGTCATCTCACCCTCCCTGTCTCTCCTCTCTGTCTTTCACAGGACAGTTCATCTGCCATCCAGTTTGTAACAAGGGGCAGTGTGATGGTTGACAAGGGAGCAGTGGAGGTCTCTAATGGGCTTTCGGAAGACACCACAGTAAGTGGATCTCAGGGCTGGTTTCTTGTTTCGAGCTTTTAGCAGTATGGATTATACAAGGACAATTCAACCTTGTATGGGTTTGTTGTTTTTTTCTGGAGGAGAAGAACGAAAGAAACATATGCACATATTAACCCCAACCTTTTGCCTTTTGTTTAGATGAAAGAAGGAACTTGCTATAATGAGACAGTGCATTTAAAGAGAAGAAACAGAATGTAGTGCCAAGTATGCTTTTTATTTTGATGAGATGACCTTCCTGTTTTCTGCAGGGTTATCTGTTAATCAGGTTTTTAGCTGGTCGGTAAGCTTTGCATCGTGTACATTTTCAGTGGCATTCTATTCATTCTAATCAGTGGTTTCATGCAATCATGCAAATTAACTGTGGAGAAGTTTAGGGAGAAGTGGCACAAAAGCCTTCTCTTGGTATTGAACAGCTTTCAAGGACTCATTTCTCCCTTGAGGTCCAAAACCCACAATCAATCTAATGCTGACAAATTGTGGCAGCTTTGGCTGTTAGGCCAAAGTGTTGATCTTGTTAAGCTCTTTGGTTTCCCCCAGTGTATTTATCAGTCTATTTAATTTGGTGACCCTGGCATTGCCACCTCACCTTCTCCTAACCACTAATTCAAAAGGTGAGCTAAAAATGCTGGGTCTGGCCTCAGCTTTTCTCTGAGTGGATTCATCCATTCAATTCATTAATTAACTTTCTCTGACAAGATTCATCCATTCTTTCAAATAATTCATTTCTTTACTTCTTTTGGTCCCTTAACACATTTTGTATTGCGACCACCCTAGTTCCATAACTTTCAATTTTATGAAACAATGGAACAGTCTGTCAAGGACTGTATCTGCAACATTTACAAATGACAAGAGGAACATTCTTACTGATGCTAAGAACTGCAATGCATATATCTATTAACAAGGATCACTAGGCATTAGAAAACTTAATAACAGGTCTGTGCTCAGGAGTTTCACAAAGAAAACTCCACTGCTTGGTTATTTACAGTAGGTTACCCCCCTCCCCCCACGGGCACAGAGTGGGAGTGGTCACCTTGAGGCGACCAGGGAGGTGTGGAGGCGTCTGGTTCCTCCACCAGTTGCCTTCATCTCTCATCAGGATCAGACCAACTTCCAGTTCCGGGGTCAGACACTCAGCCTCAGGGTGTCTCTCTGCCAAATGTCAGGACCTACATTATTGTCATGTGAGCATATCTATTTCAGTCTGTGCATTTGCATCAATGGCTAACTCTTTTTTTGACATGGCAAAATATTTTTATTTTTTATGTTTTTGAAAGAGGTCTGTAGTAAGATTACTATATTCCTTCTGCACTAGACAAGCAAGAAAGGAGAATGTTTTATATATTAAAAGGAAACACAGATACTTTATCATTTGTTTCTGAGTAAAGGTTATCTATAATGCCTGTGGTGAAGATCCGAGATCAGAGGCCACCAGAGTTTTGTCCCTGAACTTTACTTCGTTTATCACTGCTGTCACTTCTCTGTTCCCTCTACTACATTCTTGCTCCCAAGGATATTTCACTTACAGTACTATTCATGTCTGCTACATCTGTGGGAAAATTTTAATAATAATAATTGCTTACACTTATATAGTGCTTTTCTGGACACTCCACTCAAAGCGCTTGTGTGGCATCCACCTGGATGATGCGACAACAGCCATTGTGCACCAGTACACCCACCACACATCAGCAATCAGTGGGGAGGAGAGCAGAGTGATGAAGCCAATTCATAGATGGGGATTATTAGGAGGCCATTATTGGTAAAGGCCAATGGGAAATTAGGCCAGGATACTGGGGTTACACCCTTACTCTTTTCAAGAAACACCCTGGGATTTTTAATGAGTCAGGACCTCCGTTTTACGTCTCATCCGAAGGACAGCACCCTATTACAGTATAGTGTCCCAGTCACTATACTGGGGCATTAGGACCCACACAGCCTGCAGGGTCCTTAGATTTTCCCCGGAGTTCTCCTATCCAGATACTGACCCAGCTCGTACTGTACCTGCTTAGCTTCAGTGGGTTGCAGGTTGATATGGCTGCTGGCTTTACTTTCTTCTTCCTCTGCCTTCTTACAGGTGGTATTATTCTATTTTTCATGCTTATAAGTTTTACAATTTTCCCCTTCTGATCTGATGAGCACTTATTGCATCCAACTGATTTTTAACTATACTATGAATATAAATCTGTTTACTTTTGTTTCACCAAAAATAGAGATGTTGTCATATATACTGTATATATCTTGTTATATATAACAAGAGATGATGCGGCTGCTGGCTTCAAATGTTTGGTGTTGACCTTAGGTTTGATGTTCAAAGAAATTGACATTTCAGGCCAAGAGGTTATCACATGCGAGTCTGTGTTAATGATATTGCGTCACAGTGGACAGTAGATGTTTCTGTTTTTATGCCTTACATGGCAATCTGGTTTGTCAAAGAAAAACAAACTATGTTATGTCACATAATGACCCAGTAACCTGTGAGATTCCAAGAATCCAGACAATAAAGATATAGTAGGTGTTTGGGAATTACAGAAGGGAAAGTTTGAGATGTATCTAGGTTGTCTTTGTAGTCCCTAGGGAGGAGTACAGTACATTAACTGGCTACATTTAGACTAAATCATCATAAAGACGATGTCCATGGTCAAGATACTTGATACAGTCTAGACACCATAATTTTTTAAGGTTAAATTAATTGATTTTTTAATATGAATATAGGTTATACTGTTACTTTACAAAACTTTAAAAAGTCCACCATCTATTTAAGCTTTGACGTTTATACTCAGCTTTTAATGTGCTGTCCATTCTTATAACCAGGCTGGGCATTATGGGGGACAGAATTTTTTAATTTGTACACCACTGTCAGTGACTATTTTGGTCACTTTAGAAGTCTAAATAAAGTCTTACTATGGTTGAACATTTACATTTGTATTATTTGTGCTGCAGTATATAAGTTTTATTCTTGTACTTTTCATTGTTTCATATGCAATTGTTGCATATTATTTTGTTTTCATTTTTTTATTGTTTGAGATCTGACTTTGATTTTGTCCATTCACTATGTTGACAATGCACACAGACTTGTCAGAATTTCCTAACTAATGTGACTCAATGTGACCTGTTGAATTTAGGAATGCTTCTCTGCTAACTTGTAGAAATGTTCTTTTAAAATGCAGTTTGTGTATATTATACAGTATGTGATATGTGGAGAACATTTGATACTTTTTAGTCTTGGCTCTTTGCAAAATGTTAATAATAATAATAATAATAATTGCTTACACTTATATAGCGCTTTTCTGGACACTCCACTCAAAGCGCTTTACAGGTAATGGGGACTCCCCTCCACCACCACCAATGTGCAGCATCCACCTGGATGATGCGACGGCAGCCATAGTGCGCCAGAACGCTCACCACACATCAGCTATCAGTGGGGAGGAGAGCAGAGTAATTAAGCCAATTCATAGAGGGGGATTATTAGGAGGCCATGATTAGTAAGGGCCAATTGGAAATTTTGGCCAGGACACCGGGGTACACCCCTACTCTTTTCGAGAAGAGCCCTGGGATTTTTAATGACCACAGAGAGTCAGGACCTCGGTTTTACGTCTCATCCGAAGGACGGCGCCTGTTTACAGTATAGTGTCCCCATCACTATACTGGGGCATTAGGACCCACATGGACCACAGGGTGAGCGCCCCCTGCTGGCCCCACTAACACCTCTTAAATATGGTGTTAACAACAGTTAAATATGCTGTTGTGTGGGTCTAAGCTTTTATAGTATTATTATCCTAGAGTGCAGTGATGGGATTTACTGTACGAATAGTAACACTAATGGCTGATTTGCTCTATGCTTCAGGTGGTATTTGAGGCTTTCCACAATCAAGAGCCAAGAGGCTATGTGGTTGGCTGGATCATCGCCATCAGCCTCCTTGTGGGAATCCTCATCTTCCTGTTGCTGGCTGTGCTGCTCTGGAAGGTAAGGAGATCAAACTGCCATGTCTGTGTGACAGTCCTCCAGCAGAGTAAATATAATGTTCATGAATAGGTATTCTATTATACCAATCATTTTAGTCAGCGGCAGAGCTTTTAATGAAACAGAAGCAAATGTACAATGATATTCATAAGAATATACGAAGGGTTGCACTCAAGAGAAAGTCATTCATCCCATCAAGCCAGTTTGCTAGTTAGTGACTAATTGAGCCAAAGATCTCATGTAGCCATGTCTTTAAAAAAAACAGGATATTGGCTTCAGCAACATGGCTGGGTAGCTTCTTCCACACTCCCTAAAACAATGAACAGTTCTCACTTGCAAAATTTATGTCATCTATTTGTTACAGTAACAAGTATATCATAGTGTACATGAGTTATACAGTATGATATTACAGTATATTAGAATACATATGCTTTTACTTTTCAGTTTGCCTATGGCACTGTTGTACTTTGCCCTAAATCTGAGGAACTTTACAATAAATTCATCTTACTTTTAAAAAATGTAAAATTTTCCGTACATGTAACGTAAAATGTTTTTAAACATAAACCTGTTATGTTTTGTTTTGGAGAGGGAAAGGGTCAAAATTCCAAACTTCAAATTAGTCATACAAAGCCATTCTTTAATTGTTAGTATAAAGATTTTACATTTTTAAAAATGAAAATCTTCCAACATACAGTAAGTCTTCTTAAAGAAAATAGAGTATCTCAGATATATAATACAATGTATAGAACAATTTTGAATTAATGTATCCTTTTCAGAACATGTGTTTTACAGGGGCTTTCCTTCATTTAAAAGCAATGTGCATTACACTCATTACTACGTGGGAAATCAGATAACGGCTGTTTCCCATATTTATAGTACTATTAAAGGCACATGTGCTAATACTTTTTAGTTCAGGTATGTAATGTTTCTGGTAAAATGCTTTAGAGCTCGCTTAACTACAAATATAATATGTATTTTCTTAAATTACCTCTTGGCTTAATCAATAAGCAGCCTGAGGTTCTTAATTATATAGTGTATCATGCTGCATTCATAATAAATGGCACTTGGTTTATAGGAAACTAAGAGAACATATAACACACTATTATACAGATCCTAAAAATTAAATGTCAATATTTAATACTTTCAAGAATACCTAATAAATACTGCCTGAGCAAGAAGGTACCATGTATAAAGATAACATTAAAAACAAATACTATAAATGTCAGTTATAATGTGGTGAATATAAAATCTAAAAAATGGTTTAAAAAGAAAAAAGATAATGATTGATAAAACCTGCTAGTTACTTTAACATTGTAATTTTTTCTGTACCATCTAACTTGCATGTGCTGTTTTCCTACTGCATTCTGCCATCTAAAAGTTTGTTATTACATGCCAGCTATAGGTTTCAGTGTTTGGCTGTTTTAATCCACTGGTTTCAGATGTTAAAATTCCATATTGTTGTGAGCTTTGCCTGTGGGTCCATGAAATATAGATGGTGTGCCATTAATAGGCATAAAATGTTCTGCAACAGACCTGGTAATAATTTACACGTTATTCACGGAGATTAAAGTTCCTGGTCATCACTGGACTCAAAGGGAACTTTGAAATGTGTATCACACTGATGTCCACAATACAAAAAACTTTCTTTGCTTTAATTTCTTTACTGGGAATGCCACAGATGATCCCAGGAATTCTTTGACCTGGGATACAATTTTACTTCATGAACTTGAGTCTTGGGAAAATAAATCTGTTTAACAGAAGATCCTTCAAATCCAGGCCTTATGCTTATGTGAAAACAGAACATCCTGGGTACAGATTTAAGGACATGCCTGGAGGATTTGAAAATGCTCTTTAACAATAAACTGTAATGTGAGTGAAATACAGATAAACAGTTGTGGATGAAGGAGACAAGCTCTTTTGAGATCCAGGTTCTTCAAAGCTAGGCATGAGAGACCACCTGTAGAGCAGTGTTTGTTGTCCTATGGCAGGGGTCTACAACACTGATTCTGGTCTACAGTGCTGTATGTTTTACAGTATATGTAGACTTAAATGGTCAATTAGAAGAGCATGTGTACTCTTCTTTAAGCAACCAACTCAGCTGGAAAAAATGCAGAGTTAGAGTTACCAGGAATGTGAAAGATGATTATAGTATGTCAAAAATATGACTTTGTTTCTTAATATTCACACCTATTTAAATCTAGAAGTATTTGTACTTTCAATGTACTGTACTAATATCACCCAAAACAAAACACAGAAACACAGTGGAGGACATACAGTATAAACCCCACACATGCAAATAGCCTCAGAGGTCTGAAACTGAACCCAGGTCATCAGCACTGCAAGGCAGCAATACTAGCCACTGCTCCACTATGTCACCCTTTCTTTAGATATGTATTTCTGCATATTTATTTAATTTTATTTTACTTTCAATTACAAACTTGCCTCATTGCCTCAGACTCTTTGATTGTAATACTGACTTAAAGTATTGGAAGGTAAAGCAAATATAAAAAAGCACTGGACAGAAATGAAACTGAATTTACTTGTTCTATTTACATATTCTAACCTTGCTTCCTTAACTGTACTTACAAAGGGAGGCTCTAAGCATAGTCTCTTTAAATTTTGTTGTCTGTATGTGTTATTTCGTTCGTTCACTTTTTCTGACTGTTTCACTCTCTTCACTCCTGTCTCAGATGGGGTTCTTCCGTCGGCGGTACAAAGAGATAATTGAGGCAGAGAAGAACAGGAAGGACAGCGAAGAAAGCTGGGACTGGGTCCAGAAAACCCAGTGAGCTGCCAGATATACCACTCACATCATGTGATGCCTGTCTGCCAGCCTATCAGTTCACATCCCTTGAATCTTCCATATGTGGAAGAAGAAATTCTTCTCCAGATTTTTCGGAGGCCTGATATGTGTTTTTGTTTTTTAAATATCGTGAAGCTGACAGCTGGAAACTATTCCTGAGGTGATCACGTGACCTGCAAGGAGTAATTATGTTCTTCCTGATGGAGTTGAACTTTGAACTCTGAAAAGAGAGGGTTCTCTATGGAAGGAAGCAGATATCACAACAACATTTGTGGTAAAAACCCTCAGGGCACTGAACTCGTTAGCGAAACTTATTTTTTTATACATATATGCCTTTTTTTTACTGATCACAATCTTCAACAAATGTATTGATATTTTTTTTTGCTGTGTTTTCTGTTTGACATATCTAGATATTTACTTCAAGGCACTGATGACTGGTTAACGCCAAAGTCAACATTAAACTTTTCTGTATTATGGAAAGGAGACACATTACACCAAAAATACACTTAAAAAACACAAAGTTAGATTATTTACTGTTTTCAAGCTGAAATGTCATGATAATGAATGATCTCTTTTGCCTTACTTCCTGTGTCCACTCCCTTATGCAAGCACCTGGTAATGCTTTTAAAGTAGAGGCATTTCAGCTTGCTGCTCTGATTTATCGAAAATGTTAAGATAGTTTAGATCAGGCGTGTTCAACTTTGGTCCTCAAGAGAAGCTGTCCAGCAAATTTTAAAAGTTTCTTTAAATCTTAAGCTTCAAAAAACAAGGAAAGGCTTCAACTTGTTCAAGTTAACAAAAATTGAGTTAAATTAGTACTTAAGTGTTTAGAAACCTTCTAGCCCTCCAAGACTGCAGTTGTGCACCCCTGATGTACATTAGGTCCATTATGCTGAATTTAGGAGAATGCTCACCAAAAGTTATTTTAGGCAGGTATCAATCACATTAATTGTTCAGTATTTGTTCGGATATGACATATCATACTGTATATGTTAACAAAGTGCACAACCAATAGTTTTTTTAGTCTTTAAGACAGAGTTAGAAATGAAATTTGAGAAGGTACCACTGATTCTAATTCTGTGCTGCTTTGTTTATGACAGTGGTGCACGATACCAGTCCAAGTTGGTAGTAGTGTCTGCAGACTGTTGTTCCTCCTCTGTTCTCAATAACATAATTGAGCTAATCATTAGCTTAATTGGACCAGTTTCTTTTCAAAGATCTTCAGCTGTTGATAATTTAAAGAGACCTAGAATACCTGCTGGATTCTAGCCTTCAAGGACTGGAGTTGTGAACATATGCTTTATGAACACAGACATACAATTCCATTCTTACAAGTTCTGTCTGTGTTACCTCATCCGCTGCTTAAGACCTTGGGAATTTGTACCTGCTTCACTATTTTAATTATTGTAATTAAGCTGTTATGCACAGGGTTGCCAACTCAGGTTCTGGGTGGTCACCATGTCTGCAGGTTTTAATTCCATCTCACCTTTTAAGGCAGTTGAGCTAATTATTGGCTGAATTGGATTCTGATCTCTTAAGGTTCTATAGAGGTTTAGGGAGCCATATAAAACTTTAAAACCTGTTGCTCTGCGGCCCTCCAGGAAAACCCTGTATAATGAGATCAGAAAAAAAGAAAGAACTGCTCCGTAGTGATTCCTAACAAATAAGTCAGGAACAGCAACTGCCAAAGTACTAATCAGTGCAATCTACTGAGGAGGGATTTGCATATTGCTTTACTGTATTGATATTTCAGAAATCTGTTATGACAGGCTATAATAGAAAAATAAATGATGAAAAACATACATTTAATATCCTGAGCAAATCTGAAAAAGCATTTATAACACAAAGCTATTTTAAATTGCTTATTATGAAAAGCAACTCACAAAACTTACCCCCCCCCCCCAAATTGCACTAAAAAATACAAATTTCTTAGATAAGCCACATCATTTTTACACTTAAGAAAATGACTGCTTGTTTGTCTTTTGATACGTTGATTTGATAAGTTGATCATGATTAGTTTTAATTCCTGTCTGAAACTTTGAATCAACTACAGAATTGGAAGAAGGTTAGTAACAATTCATGATGGCAAGTCTCCAATATAAGTAAGGCACACTGTACCAAAGAAATTCCTATGTGCCTCACAATTACAGTCCCTGCAACTGTCCATTTATGCTAAAATTCTTTTTTCTCAGGGTCATGAGAGAAAAAACAGAGTACTGCTGCATCCAGATGAGTGTATTGCACAGCGTGAATATCATTTCACTATTACTGTCTCTAAGCGTAATAGCTTTTCCTATTATTATGTTTCCATTAAATATAGAGTAATATTTTTTGATTGATGCATTTCTTTCATCTGCCCCAAATCTTGATTTGCTTTTATTTGATTTGCTTTGATTTCCAAAAAACGTATTTAGAATATATGTTGTCTGTTTTTAAAGGTGAAAGAGTTCCATTGAATCTCTGTAATTGGTACTTTGTTTCCTTGGAATCGGTGTGGTTATTGATTGTTTCAGTTTGATGAAATCAGGAAACGTAGTAGCTAAGCATTTCTTATGTGCTTCTAAGTCTGAATATTCACTTGAACTTGCATCCTCATAACTGCTGCTGATCCAGAACAAAGCTTAATCCAAAACACAAACTATTGAGAGTGGGTCTAAGAAATAGTGATGTATCACTGGATAAAAGCAGAGGTGTTGAAGTGAACTGAAAAATCATAGAATGGACACCTGAATGAGCTTGAATACCTTTTAATTTAATTAGGTGGCTTGTCATTTGTAATTGTTTTGTTTTATGGTTTCTTGAGTGTTTATTTCTGAATTGAAATCAAAAGCAATAAATATCCACAGACAGTCTTTGTACTTTGCCTTTGTTATACTGCCCATTGCATTGCATTACTACCTCTGTCATTACCAGTGGTTTAGAAACCACTTCGTTAGGATTGTCACCTTGCCCCATAATCCCCAGTCAGTATTTCAGTTAATGTACAGAATAAGTACTAAATCATTACTAAATTGATATTGCTACATAATTACACACAGTAATTATATACCTGTACAGTTACTGATCAATGTGAAAAAATAAAAAGTCTGGAATAATTTGTATTTTCCATTTTACTTTGCATCATATGCAGCTATTTGTTTTTTAAACAGCAAGCTATTCTAAACCTTATTTGTACTGATTGATGATCTAAAATGCTAATGTGTAAAATAAACAGTGTAGTAAATTACTTATTTAATTAGCAGACTGTAATTTAGGCCATTTTTTATTTAAAAAAAATCATGTCAGACTATGGTGGGTGGCACAGTGATACTATGGTTAGCATCACAGTGCTTGGGCCTTGGGTTCATTTCCTGGAGTGCTACCTACATGGAATTTGTATGTTCTCCCCTTGTTTGTGTGGGTTTCCTCTGGATACTCCAGTTTCCTCCAAAGGTCTAAAGACATACTGCTAAGTTAATTGGCTACCTGGAAAATTAGCCCTGATGTGAGTATGTGTGACCTGTGATGAACTGGTATCCTGTCCAGGGTGCACCCTACCTTTCATGTGTTGATTGGTTGGATCAGCTCCAGCTCCTCTGTGGCCCTGAATTGGATAAAGATTATAGAAAATGGATGGATGGGTGTACAGTAGGACCATTTTAAAATTAAGCAGCAACATTGATTTGGAAAAGGTTTGGTGCTCACATTAATTTTATTTAAAGGGCAACCTTAAAATCTGGTTGTGTCTCACAGTGTCTTAGGATTATGAAGCCTGGAGGCAAGCATACATGTCTTTAATGCTGTTATCTGTTTATTCAAAATACTGTAGAATGTTACTGCAGCATTGATCAAACAAGACCTGCCATGAGTGTAACAAATGATCATATAAGCTTTGTCAATACTGTGGGAGCAAGTTTATCTTTTACTAAAACGAGAAGAAAATATGAAAATACATCTTTCCTTTCAGTCATAAAATTAAATAAAAATAAAAAATGATTATGTACTGTAAAATATTCTATGTATAGGAATATACACTGTCTGTATTATAATGTATAAATACTGTGTAAATATCCTTATGTACAGTATTACACATTTCTATTGCAAAATAGAGCAAACACTTATGTGTTTATCCACATTACTGATCATACATTTAGAAGTAATGTGATGGGCCAAAGTAAGAACTGCATTTATTCTATTTCTCATTACTGTACTAATTTGACTACTTTACTAATGCTTGCACCCCTTTGAAGAGCTAACCATTTCCATTACATAAAGATCGTAACGGGGTTTGTATCATAAATAAAAATAACATCTCCAGAGACTGCTAGTTCATGTCAGTGGCCATCTAGGACAAGGATTCCTCAAACAGCAACACAGTTGTGCTGCCAGGGTAGATTTGGGATTGGTCGGTAAGGACTCCCTTAGCTTTCTGGCAAAGTGCAAATCCTGGCTTGCTGGGCACCTGCAGGTTTTGCAGTGGCATCAATGAGTGCAAGAGGATTCTCCAATCACACATTCTGCAGCCTGCTGCATGACTGTCTCCACAAGTAGGATTGCTGCAGGAATATGGCCATAAGTGATTTAAGTCTTACAACAGCAGGCGAATGTGAAGTTGGTGGCTGTGTGCTAAAAATGAATTATACAGTACCTGTAACAATTCAATTTGCCCTTCTTTTTCTGGAACTGCTGTGCACCTGGGAAGATTGTGTTACAGGTAATTCATAAATTTGCTGGTCAGGCATATCAGTTTACCAGAAGAGAAATATTCTCCTCATCCTTAGTCCCTGCCGGTAGTATATTATTTGTTGCAATTTTGATCTGTTTGGTATACATTAAATCGTTAAATTATGCCTACTAATGATTGTGTCTGACAATGTCAAATGACTAGGAGAATAAATGAGTTTCTCAGATGTGTACAAAATTAAATCATCATTGCATTTTCCATACAGTATGTTGCTTAACCCCTTAACCATGTGCACATCCATCCTTCCATCTGTTTTCCAGCTGCTTTATCTAAAATAGGCTTGCAGGCCCCAGCACTCTAAGGCACCAATGCAAACCACTATGCTCCATGTGAATATATCATAATAGATGTTTTCAATACATTCAATACATTACTTTTACGATTCCTCCCATCTGGAATACAAATACACCAGGAAGGTGTCTTTTCAATAGATTCAATTCATTCAATGTCAGACAGGAACACTGTAATTTGTGAGGTGATATGCTGTCATTGGACATCTCTTTTGAAGGACAGGCCGTTCAGCGATGTTTTGTAAATTAGTTGGTTTGACAGAACTAATAGCTTTTCTTCTTCCTATAGGGCAACTCAAATGCTGTTGCTTCTCCAGGGTGCCTGTAGTATCCAATGTCAGAGCATGGCAGTCTTTGTTAAATTTGAACTTATCAATGGGTAGAACAACTTTAGTATAAACTTGAACATAATTTTAAAGTTCATACACTGACAAGGATAAGTAGCTCTCACCTTTTAATTTGTCCAGGAGTGGAAGGGAACACTACAGTGCGTAGTACAGAATCAAACCTGAATGGATTGCATCACAAAAGGTGTTGAAACATAATAATTCTTTATAACCGTTCCAAGCAGGATTCTAAGACTGTTATGTTTTTGATCAAGTTTTGTTTGTTTTTATTAAAAACTGATCTATATGCATGTAAAATTAATATAATATATAATATAAACAGGACATGTCACATTAAAAAAAGTAATTACTGTTTATCAGAATTTGCCCACTGGATTTAAACCATATTAATTTAAGGACTTTGAAGGACTAAAACACCAGTTAGTGTCATAAGCACCAGGAGGCCTTATCATTCTTAGCATTTTAAAGGATATGATAAAAACAAGAATAGTTTCTTTGCAGCTGTATACTGTAATTATGGATTTTATGGGGTTTCTTTTTGCATGTGCTACTTTTATGAACGGTAAAGCAGTGTTTTCTTAAAAATATACAGGCCTGTGTGAGGAATGGTTTTGTTTTTCAAAGTTCATCTCGCTAATGTGCCAAAATGGGCTTAAACATCACAAAAATGACATAACATTTCCATCATTTTACATTTCTGTCAGTAATTAAAATATTTTTTAAGTTCTTTTCAAAACTTCAAAACCACAATATTTATTTTCATTTTAACTACAAATACAGTTTATACAACACAGAAGTGATTGTTTTACATGTTAGAGACAAAAGGACTTTAGCTCAGACATGCTGTAAATCAAATGTTTTGCAACAGGAGAAAATTCATCATATGGAAAAACAACACAACTGGACACGTGACAAGCTAGAATTCAATGTTGTGGTTGGAGGAACTGACATCAAAACAACAAACCAGCGCACTGAAAAAATAATTTGTGTTTCCAGCTCTTCTGAAATTAAGACAAATCAGTAGAAGGTAAAGCACCTCACTTGTGTGCCATGTGTTGTAAACACACAAATTTCATCTGATAGAATCAACATTGTGTAATGTTCTAACCCATTTAACATGTTCATCTGTCATTTACATCCTGCAGTATGAGTAAAGTTAAGGGAGGTGCTGGATTATATTAAGGTCATTTGGGTGGAACCCAAACCCACATCCCCTAGTCAGCTCAAACCAAACCTCCATTAGGGGACATGGAATTTACTTGGACACAGTAATCTGCATTACACCGCTTTATACAGTTGTGTCAAATGCCTGACCAGCACTTTGAACTCCAGTCACGACAGAAAAATGTTTAGTTTAAAACCCCTTTAGAAGTCGCTATTGCTGTTTTACGTGACCTTGTGTTTATACTACCGTTTTGGAGCGACCTCTAGTGGACTGTGGATAGAATATAGGGGATATTTTAGACATTCTGCGTTCTACAAACGCGTTGAGCATTGCAGTGCTTTAACATTATTTTTACAAGGATGCTTAGTAGGCTTAACAAACCAATTGGTATTAAAATAAAATATGTAATGTTAACAAATCATGGTAGTAATACATAGAAAAAAAAACAGTTATCCCTAATGACTTCCAGCAAAATAAAATATTACAGAATGCTAACCATTCAGAAATGCTTTATTTTGTTTTTGGAAGAAGGTACTTCTTGGGCATCGTGCTGGGATATCCGGAGTATAATATTTTGCAATTAATAGTTTCTTGTGATCATGTACTTGTGTTCAACAAATCCAAAAGCACCTTATATATGAGAAGGGACTTCATTCATGTGGCACTATTTGCAAGAACAGCAAATATTGATCTCACTACTTCAAATCCCGCGGCTGGAAGAGGATTCCTACTCTGTTGGGCTCCTGCGCAAGACCCTTAACCCCAACTACTCCAGGGGTGCTATACAATGGCCGGCCATTGTGCTCTGACCCCAAGCTTCTCTCCCTGTCTGTGTGTCTCATGGAGAGAAAGCTGGGGTATGCAATAAAGATGAATTCCTAATGCAAGAAATTGTATATGGCTAATAAAGTGATTTTATCTTAAACAAGGAGTATAGTTGTATTTTAATCAATAAGGTCCAAAAGTATTTATCTTCATCATTGCTGTATGATTTGGTTTCCAGCATCACTTTTGCCCTGTACTTTGGCTAGCCTGACACTGTGTACAGTACACTGCTCATAGTGCATGTAAATTTATATTATAGTATATTATAGTATAGAGTAAATTTAACTTAATTCAGTACTTCACTGTAGTGTGGAATGAGCGTTTTAGCCGCTAGGTGTCGATCTTTTACTCTGATGAACGTTTAGTCTCCTCCTGGTTTGAGGGACTGCCAGTGAGCCTGGCGGGAAGTTTGTCTCAAATATAAGGTAAGATGTTTCTACTATAGCGTATATAAAGTATATCATCATCATTAACTATCGGTGTTGTATAATGTGTGACGAACCTGTTAGTAAAAGTCTCCAAGAACATGTTTGAAAATTTTGAAATTTTTCAGGAGAGATGTGTTCCTGTGGATTTTGTTTCGTAGAAATCGGTAGCTTTCTACAACGAAACGTAAACAAGCATGTCGAGTTTACATGGATTTTACTTACAATTCTGTATTGTATATATAATATTTCTATAAACATTAAATGTATTGCATGAATAACGTTATGAATACATCGATAAGATATGGTTTTTAAAGTGAATATTACGCAGTAGGGATTTATTGTGTATTGCCTCGAAGAAAAATGGATTTACACCTTTGTATGTTCATCAGCGCTTTTAAACTAGGTGAAGTAAGTCCTTTTTTGATAGAGAAAAATATCAGAACTGGTAATACCTAGCTCGTGATAAAGATTCGATAAGCACATGTTCGAAATCAATTAAAATAAATCCATAATTCATTTCTACTGTCATCAACTGGCAGCTTTAGTTAGGCCTGCATTTTTTAAATTTGGAACTATTAAATGAAAAGGGCAGGTTGATTAAGGATAATTCCCCCCCCCCCCCCC